CAAAAGTTTTAGGAGACATATTTGATTTTATACAAGCATCTTGAAATTCAACATTTCTTTTATTACTAATGCAAGCTAAAGAATCTCTGATTCTATCAATATTATCTCTAATTGTTTTCATACCACTTTTCACAATTAAATTAATAATGTGACATGCACAGCGTTAGTGAAAAAACTTCAAATTGTCATAAAAATGATAATTAATTTTAAAAAAAATATATAGCTGTACTATTAGCACTTGCATTATCTAAAGTTAAACTTATCACTTTATTAATAACATTATAATCATCTAAAACTTCAACAATTTTATTATAAATTTGTTGACCATTATGATCTACATCCATTAATCTAAATCTCAATAAATATTTATTTAATTTACATTCGTTATTAAAATAATGACTAGTCATACAAATATAATTTTTTTTAGCTCTACCACTCCAAATATCAACGGTTAGAGCCACACTAACATGACAAGTATGTATTTTATTTTTTAATTCTAATTTCATTTTCCCAAACAATTTTATTAAATCATTTCTAGTTGCAGTTTTAGAATAACTTTTAAATCCAGGAAAAAATGAATTTTTAATAAATCTTTCAAAATATTTATCTTCAGCCATATTAATAAGTTGATCAGTTGCAGCAATATATAAAGCTAATTGTTCCCTATATACATTAGAATTATAACGTCAAGTAGTACCCATATTAGTTATTTGAGTTTGATTGGCTTCTCTATTTCCATGTTGAGTAATATGTTTATTAGCATGCCTTTTTAAAGTACTAGTATCATTACTTGAATCAGCTTTATAAATATTTTCACAATATTTCATCTTGCTTTCTTCACTTGAACTCCATTTTCTATCTTGTAAAACTTATCGAAATGCACCCAAACATCTTATGTGTGCCTGTCGTCGGTTTCGGCAGTAGTTGATGAACCCGCTTCTACTTGAGATGAAGTTGGATGAGAACGACGATTACGAGGATGACTTCTAGAACCACCGGGAGCTGTAGCAGCATAGGAAGGAATCAGGGGAATATTATGAGGTGTATTGGATTCTGAGACTGGGAAAGCGGGACTATTTAAATCTACTGCATTTGTGTTAGTAAATTTAGGGGACTAGAACAGTAGTTTCCTTCATCATCGAAATCGATGGGATGGAAATATCTATCCATTGTAGTTAAAAAAAAAAAAAAAAAATTGATATAGAAGAAATAAAAAATTAAATAAGGAGAATTGGAATTTGGAAATATGAATTGAAAATTGCAAAAACTAATAAACATTAAAATGAGAGCAAATTGACAACAAAGAGAATAATTGAGAGATTTCAATAGAGACCATATTAATGGCAAAAAATGGCCATATCAGGCCAAATCTAACCGTTAATAGTCATATCTAGCCTGATATGACTGTTTTTTGCCATCAATATAGCCGAAAACAACCATATCGGAGCCTCGTGGTCACGGACGGCGACTCCCGATGACTTCCGATAGTGGATTGTGGTGGCGGTAGGCGGCGGCAAGAGATGGGGGTGATTTTGTCATAAATTAAAGTTTTATATAAGCATGGGTGTTTTAGCTAAATTTGAAATATTGGGGGTTAAAAGAAATTATTCAAAAATTAATAATAAAAATAATATTTTATGAATATTTAAAAAGAGGGTAATTTAGTAATTTAAATAACATACCCACCAATTTATTGCTCCTAACCAAACATATTAATATAACATACCCACACATTTATTCCAATTAACCAAACACATTTTCCTAAAGATTCACAGCAATCTTCAAGGTAATATAAGATTCCAATAATCTAACATTTTCTGAACCAAACGCACTCTCAAAGTAATCTAACTTTCTAGTAATCCAACCTTTCCTGAACCAAACGCACCCTCAAAGTACTCTAACTTTCCAGTAATCGAACCTTCCCTGAACCAAACGCACCCTTAAAACCATAAGTTGAGCTGACCCGATTTCATAGTTTTCCCAACTTTGGAGCATACTTCCAAACTTATTCTTCATAAATGGATTTAGCAACTGTAAACCTCAGAAAATTAAATTTCTGTCACATTATCACAATCACGATTATTTCCCTCAGCTCCTCTTGATTGACTACAATAGTTCTTTCAATTAAGTTCTAGTTTGCTTACGAGCATTATAATGAAATCATCAAGGCATCAACTGCGAAGGAAGAGACGCACTACACTTACCAGACTAAAGATATTATTTGGCAAATCAACAAAAAAAAAGAACTCATTCAAGTAATCAACATAATGAAAAAAAAAAAAAAAAAAAAACAGATCTTATTGTATAAGAACTATTGGATTAAAAAAAAAAAAAAAAGACTTGTAACAATGGCAATGAGACCAACCCCATCAATTCCTTCTGTAACTTCCTCAAATGTTGAAGAAGATGAGAACCCAGATGGCCCTTTTCTACCAAACAACCACATCTCTTCTCTTTTCACAAAATTCAAACTCACTCACACACTTAAAGGCTTACAAGTGTGAAAAAAAAAATCAAGAACTGGTGGCAATCAGAGGCAAACCAGTTTGGGATAGCCGCTGGACGCTGTGGGGACGCCGACTTGCAAACGTCGTGGTGGTGCATCATAATCTTCTAACGAATGGCTGTTTAACGTCGAAATCAAAGGCAAACCAATTTGGGATGGCTGCTAGTGCTGTGGGAAGGGGCTGTGACTAGAGATTAAGGTGCCTGGGTTTTCAAAATTGAGAGGATTTGGGGAGAAATTTTGTGCGTTTCTGGAGATTTGAAATTGATTTAGGTTTCATTTAGGCAAATTAAGTTTGAAATTTTGGATTTTTAGCAGTTCTTTTTTTTTTTTTTTTTTTTTCCTTTTTAATTTGAAGGAAGTAACGTGATATTTTGCTGATGTGGCAGATGAGCTGGCATCTGCCACATGGAAGAGAATGATGTAAAATGTTGTTGTAAACGTAGCATGAATAGCTGAATTTGAAAAATGGGTGAAATTGATGGTTTCCAAACTAGGGTCGAAATGTGATTCGGAGTTTCTCATTTAAGTGGTAAAATTTCATTCCAAATGACACCTACACCCTTTAGCCAAAATTAAGTTTTTTTTCTTATGTAAAATTAAAGATTATTTTATACAACACTTTTTGTTACATTATTTAGGGTTATTAATATTATATAAATTTTATATAAATTAAAAAAAGAAGGGAAAAAATTGAGAGAGTTTGAAATCCTTTATAGATCCAAACTTGCAACTTCCGAAGTCCAAACCCTAATTCTATCAAATTTTACCAATCTCAAAAGCAATTGTCAAAAGTAGGTAACTTTGTCTTTGTCAACTTGGTTAATTTTATTAATATTCGAATGATATCAAATTGAAATCAAGATATTTTATGCAGATCCAATTGTTCTAAGGGAAGAACGGATCAAAGTCTAAAAGTTGATAAGATATATAAAATTCGATGGATTATTTGGTTTCATGTCAATTTATATTTCTTAAACTTGGGAAATATTTTCGGTTAATAGAAATAAGTTGTAATGTGTGAAAGGCCTTAAATTTCAAATATTTATGAATCATTAGGTACATGTATTCTCCTTAATTTGTTGAGTTAATGAGAAAACCCCTAAATTTTGATTAAATAACAAAGCCCATTTCTAGTTTATGATATAACAAAGATCTCATATTATGAAGTTGTAAGTTTTAAAACAACATAAACAGTAAGAGGATAATTCGGCAAATATTTGTTAATTCATTATGGTATAAGTTTTAATGACTCATTACTAATAGAGAAACTTTTGTTATTTCAAACATCTCAAAAGAATTTTTGTTATTGCCTCAAATCTAGTAGAATTTGGTGTCTTTTATTTCCTAATTTTTCACTATAAGCAACCTTTGCATTTGGGCATTAATTCTTTTAATTAGTCCTAGTATGTAATTCTCTAATTCTTAATTAATTAGCACATTATAAGCAATTAAAAGACCATGTTTTTATAGTTTTATTACCGAGAAACTAATGAAAAATAACTTATAAGATACATCAATAATCTTATACTTATTTATCTCGACTCGACAAAAGAAAACATTTATTATAGCTTTAGATTACATTAGTTTCCATACTTATCAGAGTTTACTATAATTGTCTAAACCATTTAAATAAAAATAAATATAATAATCTGAGTGTTTGGATTATATTAGTTTTTGTTCATTTGCCACTTTTAGTTAATTGATAACGTATGCATGTCTGGCTAATATTATCTCTATTATTATTTTTACATCTTGAAAAATCAACCTCAAACTGACACGTAGGGCTCTTCTTTTTTGGCCTTTGACAGCTATTGTTTGAGTTGTCTCTGTGTCCTTTCCATAATATCTCTACACAAATTTTTATTAATTAATTAACCCCCATTAAAATCCCCTAATTTAATAACCCTGTGTTTCACTATGAGCCTTGCCTTCACTTTGATATTTTTTCCATTAAATTCTTAGAAAATCATAATATTTAAACAACTATATATCCATTTTTTTTTTTTAATTTTTATAGTTTCATTACATAATATAATCTTTCAATTTGAAAAAATATAATCTTTCAATTTGAAAAATGAGAATTCGAAAGAATATAAAACTTTCTTCAATATTGCCATCAAAAATGTTGCAAACATACGTCTGCCAACTCAACCAATCGCCATGGGATGTCATCTCCGATACATCATTCTCTCTTAATCATCAGGTTAGTCCCATTTCTATCTCTTTATTAATTAATCATTTCTATCTCTTTATTAATTAATCAACTTTTCTTTCTTTAATTATTACCTTCTAGGGTTTTTAAGCAACGGCGACGTTTTCATATTAGGGTTTCACTCAAAACCCTAAATTGTTACTCACTTTTTTTGTTTTGTATTGATTCACTTCCGAATAATTGATTTGATTATTAGACTAATCTTTGTCCCTTTTTTTTTTTTTTAATGATATGAGTTTTGTGTTTGTATCTTTTTTTATCTTTTCCTTCTATGAATAGTCGGAAGAAGAAGATACTCTTACAGACGATAAAAGGTTCGTCGATGAAACCGATGATGTTAAAGGAAGGTAAACGTCTAATTTATTTTTAAATTTTTCTTAAGAATCGAAATAAATGGGTGATAATTAAGTGACAATTTCCATTATGTCCTTAAGATTATGAAAATGTTATCAATATTATTAAATATATATATACAGTGCCACTTCATTGACGGAGATACAAGAGAAGATTGCGCCAAATGAGGAAGAAAATAATGAGAAAAATCAATCAATAGTCAATATTGACGAAGAAGAAGAAATCTATAGCAAAAGAGATCAAAGCAATGGTGGTGGGAATGAGCTTGAACAATCCTACAATGCAAAACCTAATGCATCCACAAATGGTTTTGTCATCGGAAAATCAGAATTAGCGACGAGAAAAACAGCGACTAAAGCAGTCCGCCGCGGTCGTCCTCGAGCGATCAAGACCGCTAATACTGCCTCGACATTTAGTCGATTTACTGAATTTTACTACTACTCAGGGTTCGGACCGTTTCGGGGCAAGAAGAGAGGTGAAGTAGGAGGTGAAACAAGCAAGGCTGTGACAAATTGTACTCAAAATAAGTCTTCTTGTTCAGAAATTGATTGTGTAAAAGTGGTCTATGAACTTGATGCTGATGATGAGAATGGTAAACTTCGTAAAGTAGAAGTTATAGATGCAGAGAAAAAGGGCAAGACAAAGAAAAAGAGATTTGGAAATGCCAAATCCTTGCCATCTCTGTAATGTCAAGAAGAGGAAGATTGAGGGTTTCTTTTTCAATCGCATGTGAAATGTGACATTTTGTAACTTATTTTAAAGGTTAATAGAAACATTAAATTATGTTAGGCACATTTTGTGTACGAGTTATCTTATTATTCATTATTTCATATATGTAAGGACTGTTTTTTTTCTTTAGAAAACATGTTTTTATATATATTTATGGGGGTTTTGGTGATAGAGACATAATGTATTAGTTATAAAATATTTTCTCATTGAACCTTCACAATAATGGGAAATTTTATTATTAACGAATAGTTTATATCAATGAAATTTTTTTGTGATGAAAATGAAGGCAAAAATCATTTATCGCCTGACTTTATTCCAAATCATTTGTCGCCTACTTCATCCCAAATCATTTGTTGGATGAATATTGAAGATGAAAAATATATTTACTTTGAAATGCTCTTGTTTGATGAATTAATGGATTTAAAAATATTTATTTTTAGTGGTTGGTTGCTTTATAGATTATTTTTATTTTTATTTTATGAATGGAAAGTTATAATATAGCAAAGAATAAAGGTATATATACAAACTATTCATTTACAAACATGATAACCCTACATATTTGACATATTATTTATTCTAATTTGTTTATAACTATCAGTAATTTAAAATTAACTAATCACATTAATATATATTAATTTGTATAAAGAGTTTGTACATATAGTATTATTATGTAATTAATTCATGTGCTAAAAAGGGTAAACATAAATTAAAGTTCATAATGTGAGTTAGGGCTATAAGTCGAGTCGAGTCGATCCAAGTATTGAGAAGCTCGAGTAAGCACGCAATTGCTCCAGTTGAGCATTATTAAGCTTGAACTCGACTCAACTTGACACGCGAGCTACTCGAGTCGAGCTCAAGCAATTCGTGAGCGGCTCAACTCGTTTACAGGCTGAGTGGTATATAAATTTTACCCTAAGGTTTGCTTGAAAAACAAATCTCCCTCTAAGGCTTGTGAAATGATGAAAATCACTTATTGTTAAGTTTTAAGTATTAAAACAAAAGGTTGGAGGATAATTAGGTAGATATTTATCAATAATAATAATAGTATAATTTCTACGGCTCATTAACGGTTCACCAACATTGATGGATTTTTGTTATTTCATAAGCCACAAGTGAACTTTTGTTATTTAATCAAACCTTGGGTCGACGAATTTTTAAGAGTTAATTACTTGGCATCTCTAAGGTTTGGTACAAAAACCTTTCTCTCTCTAATTTTGGGAAACTAACATTGAAAGCTTCAAATAGGGGTTCTACCAGTTTCAGGTTTGTTGGTAGACAAATACATGCCAGTGAGGATGATGGAGTAGTTAACCATGCCATGATCCGGGATCTGGATGAAGATGTTGTACGACTGGAGCAGTTTGGTGCTGAACTTGAAGCTGCTAGAAAGATATTTTCTGATGTCAATTTTGCATTGGAACTTTTCTTAATTGAATTTCCCAAATTATAGTTAGAAAAGGTTTTTGATAGCAATTCCTCTTGTAAATTTGAAACCCTCCAGAATTGTATGAAATTGGTTAAGTTGCTTTTCATATTTAATGTGATTTTCTTTAACAGACAAAATTCCTTTCTAAAAATTGCATGTAATCGAAGTATTTGGACTGCATGCAAGTTTATCTGTGCTGTGGTAAATAGAAAGTACTGATGTAGAATTTCCCCGAAACAATTGCAGTTTAAGGATGCAATCCCACGACTCCTTTAAAGTGTTTATGGTTATGTTTTCTGGAAGCAATTAAAAGTTTAGACAAGATTTTGTACTTGTATAGAGTAATCATAGGGGCAATTTGAAATTTTAATAAGATTTTATACTTCAACAAATTTGTCATATTTAAAGGTAAAAGGGGATACAAAAAGCAACTAAGAGCAGTTTTGAAATCACTTTATAGCTAAATAATATCAATTACAATTTTGGGGGGTTTGGATCATATAATATTTTATTATAGGTAGATATTATATTAACAGAATAAAAAATTACCTTGAAGATTACTAAGAATGTTTAAAAAATGTGTTTGGTTGGTTCGAATAAATTGATAAATAATATGTTTGATTGGGAGGATAAATGTTGGATATGTTATATAGATTATTAAATTGCTCTCCTTTTTAAATATTAATATAATGATATTTTTTATTATTATTTTTTGAATGATTTTTTTAACCCCCTACTATTCAAATTTAGAAAAAACACCCTAACAACCAAAAATGTTTTAAACTTAACAAAAATACCCATACCCACCCCAAGCCACTGATGGCAGCCAACCACCATCGTCGATGGCAGCCAACAGTGCCACAGATCTGGCCGTGACGCCGGTAATGCCATAGATATGGCCATGGCTTTTTTACAGCCAAAGATGTGGTCGTGAAATGGGCACAGATCTGGCCGTGGAATGCCGACTATTTCATGGCTAGATCTGTTGCTGTGAAATGATAGATCCATGGTCGGAAAAGGCCTCACCGACGCACGACTGGCCATATACGACTGGTCGTACGCCATTATGACGACTTTTGGCAGCCTCTGGCGGCGGTCCACGAGTGGTTGGTGGTGGCTATTTCTTTGTACAATGACATTTCTGTAAATAATGACAATAATAAGGGCAATGTCATTCGAAAAATTTAAAAAGTGAGGACAAAAGGATTTGCATAAGTGAAATGGGTGTTTTGTAAATTTCAACAAATATAAGACTAATTTCCCACAACCCCCCCCCCCCCCTCCAAAACAAAAAAAAAAGCAATTTACTCCCCAAATGCCCCTGTTTGCCATTAAATATTACGGAAATATTTTTTTATAAACCAACCAAACATCGTGATCTGCTCAATTTAAAAAATATTACTCCAGTTATCTAATATTAACTCCATCCAAACACCCCGAGACAAAAACTAAATATAGGCTATATATATTTGTAGAGTAATGCTACAGTTACCGACTGGTGTGCACCGAATGACGTGGCATAATCCTGACCGTTTATTTATTATCAGTTAATATTAATCAACGGTCAGAATTTGTCACGTTATTCGGTGCACAAATTCGGTATAAACTTTTCGATAACTCTATCATTTTCCATATTTGTATACAAAGAGGGAGTGAAGAGAGATCCTGAAAGAAGGGTTGGTGAAAGTTGTGTTTCTTTATGCAAATTGTTAAACCAAAGCCCAGCAGAACGGGTAGAAAATAAAGCCCAAGAGAATGGGTAGAAAATAAAGCCCAAGAAAGGGTGAAAAATAACGGATATATTTATAAAAATTCCAAAGCCCAATGGCATGGACCAGAATTTAAAGCTCAATAATAAGTGAAATCATTTCAACTCAAATTCAAACTTCAAATTGGAATTGGAATGGAAATAGGAATATGAATGGGAATGGTAATGGTAATGTGAATCTGAATAATAGGTTATAGAATTTAATCTCATTTTTTAGGCCCGATTTAATTTTAACCTAATTAGGAAAAAAAAAAAAAAAAAAAAGACATGCAAGATTTTCTTAATTTCTTGAGTAAGTAATTTCACAATTTCGAAATTAAAGACGACATACTCACGATTAATTTGATTAATTTTTAATGGCCTTTAGCCTAAATACAAACCAGTACCCTCACTATAAAATACAATCAACATTCCACTTCTGTTAGTGTCCATATCTCAAAATTGATATTATATTTGAAATTACGTACTAGATTGTTTTAATTAGGAGTGTTCAAAAGAACCGGTTGGAACCGGAACCGGCGGGTGCCTTGGATTTGGTTTCGGTTCCTATCCAAAACCAGTCATCAATGGGTAGGTATAGAAACCAGAACCGGAACCAGGAATCAAGACTAATATAAAATAAAATTAAAGATTAGGGGGTTAATAAAAAATTTTATAGAAAAAGTAATGTGAATACATTTATATTTATATTTCATAACAGTTAAAATAAGTTAATTTGACTTTTGAGAATCTACCTTTACAAAGTAATTGAGTTTGTAATTTGTAATTTATAATTTGTAATTTTATTTTTGTTAACAAGTGCCAGGTGGGGGGGTTATTTGTAAGTTTTTAAGGGTTTTTTTTTTTTTTTTTGCCATTTTAAAAACTTTTGGGGGGTCATGAATTTTATAGGGTATCCAGAACCGGAACCGGAACTATCACTACAAGAAAAAATACTTTTTACAACCATTTTTTTTGCAACTAGGCAAAAATAATTGTAGATACCCCACATTTAGTAACTAAATTCTAATTAGTCGGCCAAAGGGAATAAAATTCTAGGGCCCATTTATTCCCGCCTTTAGCATCTAATATTAATATTTTGCGACTAATGTGATTTGTTGCCCAAAATGTCACATCAGCGACTAATTTATTTTGTTGCTAATTCTTACGCGAACACAATTGGCAATTATAATAAGAGAGTCTATAACTAAAATTATGGTTACAGAAAACAATTATTTGTAACTACTGAATAGTTGCTAAATTAGATGCAAATATTTATTAATTAATTTGTAACTATTTTTATTAGTTACAAAATAATACAATTATCGAAATATCCAGGCTTTTGACAATAATTACAAAGGGCTCAGGGTACATTTGACAACTAATTATTTTGTGCATATTACAACTAGTTGCAAAAACTCATGTATAGCAGCTAAAATGCATTTAGTCGCTAAAAGTTGATGAATTTTTTTGAACTTAACTTTCCCGGTAAAATGAAAAAATATTATTTTAATTTGTGACTAAAATTATTGTTGCGTAACTAATTAGTTAGTTGCAAATTATCTTCTTTTGGCAACTAAGATTTTAGTTGCTAAATGTATGGTAAATTTTGAGCGCCCCATGTTCCTGCTTGAAATAAATTGAAATTTTGGGTATGTTATTTTGACAACTAAAGTTATAGTTGTTAATAGGATTTTTTTGCAACCAAAATGTTAGCCACTAAATATTGTTTATTAAAAATAATATATACTACTAGTAACCAAAATCAATGTTATTGTTTGATTCTACTTTTGCCGCCTACATTACCATCTCTTTGATTCTACTTTTGCCATTTACATTACCCCATTGAAGGTAAATTTTTTTCATTTTTATGTCAAAGCTCATTCTTTTATAGATGGTATTTTAATTTTATTGTTTGATTTTCAATCCGTTTATTTATAACATTTGCTTTAATTTGTTTAAGCATCTGTTGTTAGTGACGTTCCCAAATAGGTGGCTTTAACTTCGTAATGGGTGATTTTATTTTTGTTTTCTCTTTCATCTGACATTACCATAGACTTTGTTTTGTTTTGCTTTACACATGGGTTTTGTGAATGTTTGTGTGCAAGTTGCGACTCAAATTTTGAATAAATTGTCAAACAAGAGATAGGGAAAGTGAAAATTAGCTTTTTGTCATATAAAACTAGATACGCTATCGTATGGCCTTATATGAAAAGGATCTTCACTACTAGAAAAACCCCCTTCCTAGACATAATGAGTTGACAGATTTTCTTGACCGTTTTAAAAAACTATCAAGAATTATAATTGCAAACCCTTATAGTCGACCTATTTTCGACACTGAAAAAAAGTTCTCGTTTCTATCACTTTCATTCAATAGATGATGACTCGCTTAGTGACTCTGACGCTTACTCTGTGTCTATTTCGATGGAGTTTGTTAACTTTGGTGAGTTGTCGGGGAAATCTATTCGGTTTTGGTCTATAGAAATAAAGAAAACCGAATTTTCGATTTTATTAAAAAAAATTAAAAAGTAAACATTTTTTCGTTAAAATAAAAAAGAAGCAATTTAAATTAAAAAGATTATAAATATAAAATTAAAGAAAATCAAAACCTCAAACCCGGTTTAAAAAAAGGAAAAGAAATAATAAAATAAAACAATTTTTCCAACCTCAAAATTTTCACCAAGGCAAATTCTCCCACCCATTTTTCATTAAATCAAAGCTAAGGTTATAAACTAAATAACCCATTTCTTCTACCCAAAATTCTGGCGCCCAAAAACTCGTTCTTCCGCCCAAAAACGAGAAACATTTCCCTCTCTTTCGCCCAAAATCTCTCTTTGTCGCCCAAAAACGCTGCGTTTTACTCTCTCTTTCTTAGCTCTCCATTTCTTCCTCCTCGAAGCCGTAACGAACCCAGATTTGAAACCACTTCTAGACTTCAAAGCTTCTTCCGACAAAGCCGGCCAGCTCACCACTTGGAACGAGACGTCGGAGCCGTGTGGCGGTTGGACTGGAGTCTCTTGTCTTCAGAACAGAGTCTCTCGACTCGTCCTGGAAAACCTGGAACTCAGGGGCTCGTTTGAGTCACTCACCTCTTTGACTCAGCTCCGTGTCTTGAGCCTTAAAAAACAACCGCTTCACAGGGTCAGTCCCAGACCTGTCTAACTTCACAGCGTTGAAGCTTCTGTTTCTCTCTCACAATGACTTTTCCGGCGAGTTTCCGGCGTCAGTTCAGTCGCTGTTTAGACTCTACGGTCTCGATCTGTCGTATAATAACTTCACTGGGCAGATTCCGTCGACGGTCAATCGTTTGACTCTTCGACTTGAAGAAAACGGGTTTTCGGGTCAAATCACGGGCTTGAATCTCCAGAATCTGCAAGACTTCAACGTTTCCGGTAACAATCTCTCGGGTAAAATTCCCGCCTCTCTATCGAGTTTCCCTTTGTCTTCATTCACTCAAAACGCAGCTCTCTGTGGATCCCCACTGCAAGCATGCAAAACAGTAGTATCTGACCCGACAAAACCCGGATCCGATGGCGCCATAGCTTCGCCACTCAACCCAGGAAACAACCCATCAAGTGTAGTAACCTCGTCACGAAGCTCAATCCCCACGAACACAAACAGAAACCCAAACATACCACAAAACCCTCACAAAACACGTGCCAAAATGAGCTCAATCGCCGTAATAGCCATAATTGTCGGGGACTTCTTAGTTCTGGCCATCATTTCTCTCTTATTGCAGGAAATCATAAGAACAAAGAATGAACACCCGGATGATAGCCAATGTATTGTCAATGATAGAGTGAAAGGCCGTCTTAAGGTCACCAGAGCATTTGGAGCTGGATTTCTGAAAAAGGTTTGTCGTATATCCTTTGTAATATCTATTTTGCTGCAAGGATTTCTGATAAAAAGTAATTCTGGTTGATGATTATTACTGTTTGGTGATTTGTACATCATGGCAGCATATATCTTCGTTATAGGTGCTCATTGCTTGCTATGTTCTAGTAAATTATATCCTCATGAATAATATTCATCGCTATGGTATGTGGATAAGACACATTGGATTTTACAGATAATGCAGTGTATAAATTAAAATGTTGTTATTTTTGGATATCTTTTAAAAAGTGTTGTGATAGAGGAAATGTTGTATATAGTATTGGAAATGATTCAAGTTTCAGGTCACCTTTATCAGTGCATAAAAATATCATTTTTGTTGTATGCTGTGTCATGTGAGCCAACCGAATATCATTACTGTACTTATTTTTTTAATGTTTCAATATATGTGTCCTTGCTGTAACAAACCACAAGAATATCATTACTGATTTTGCTAATGCTTCACTCATTTATGCATTCTTGCTCTTACAAAACCACACTTGAGCATTACACTTATATTTCATTTTTTCAATTGATGAAGTTCCTAGTGTATTGTTTTATCCAATGGTGTGTTTTAAAAACTTGCTTAATGATATCATGGCATCTTTGTGCAGCCCAAGTTGAACGATTCATTATTGGAAATGTTTTGAAATGAGTATATTGGAACTGCTCCATACATATCCTGCACGTCTTCTCTTCATCACCATGGACTCTGCCCAAGAGATTAATTTTTTATCTTCTCATCCGATGGTTTATATCGGTATCTGACCAATCAGGAAGTGGTTTCAAATGTCGAGAGTTTCATGGAGAAGTTTCCAGATGGTGATCCTACACAATACCTAATAGAGGAGTTGCTCTTCCATGCAGCTGACAAAGCTGGTAAAATGTTCTTTCTTCTCTGCTTATTTCTTTAAATGCTAATAATCATCCGGTTGTACAAAATGTGGAAAAGTAATTATGAGATTTAACCTTTAAAAGTAAGGGTGTTTCTTCTACAGTAAATATTATCAAAGCTTTTTCCATGTCAATATTAAGCCATTTGTGAACTATTTTTCAATGTAAACGTTCTGACATAATTTTTAGTCATTTTCTTCTGCATTACAATAGGTAATCTGTTATCTTCTTAATATTATTAACGTGATGGCTCCAACAAGATTGGTTTCGAGCAATTTATTCATGGTTATCTGACTTATTGATTATTCATTGACTTATTGATTATAATTTATATGTAATTATTTAGTTTTTTGCTTGACTTATTGATTATGCATTGAATTGATGGTAGGAAAAAATGATAGAGCTGCAAGATAAAACACAAGCAGGGGAAAGTGAAAAAACAGAAGCAGAAATATGTGAGGAAGTTCCGGGTAAATCTTCTGGATTTAATCAAAATTTTGCATTTTCACACACTGAGCATCATGATACTGCAATAGAAGCTGAGTTAGGGTGCATTGTGCAACAACAAGAAAATAAGATTAAACAATTGGAGGAGCAGCTCGTCTTAGTTGATCAACAAAAAGAGAAAATAAAAAGTTTTGAACAACAACAATTTGTCCTGTTGGAGATAATGAAGCAGCTAACTATAGCCCTCGAACTACAACAATCTGATAAAGCTCCAACTCGACAACCATCGCCATCTCCAATTGTTGAAGACTCGTCCTCATCAGCTACAGCTATTTCAAAAAAAGCAACTGGTGACACTTGAGATGCTCTAGATATTGATGGTTAGTTTTTTGTTGTATGGGCAGTAGATATTTTGACATGGGGGTAGAACCATCTTTTTAAGATTGTTTGCATATATCTATTAGATGGTGTACAGGGGATGGACATTTTTTTGTTAGTCATGCACAAATAGATAGCTAGTGATAAAAATGTGGGTGCATACTTTTTTTTGGTTATGTACACTTGATAGTGTATTTTGGATTTTTATTGCTCCTAATGCATAAAAATCCATGTATGGACTATATATATAAATATATATATGTATGAAAATATGATATTTAATGTTAGTGATTAGATTTTTATATTGTGTTAATTATTTTGTTGATGTTGAATGTATAAACTAGGTCAATACGAAATGCTCGAAAAAAAAAAAAAACATTTTGTAACTAATTTTTTAGTAGCAAAAAGTAATTTAGCATAATTGCATTCCACATTCAGCGTCTAAAGTGATTAGAATTAACCACCAAATTTTGGTCATCAAAAGATACATTCGTCTACTAATAAAATAGTTGCAAAAACTTTTTGGATTTTACATTCAGTGTTTAAAATGATTAGAATTAATCATTAAATTTTTGCTCCTAATGCATAAAAATCCATGTATGGACTATACATATAAATATATATATGTACGAAAATATGATATTTGATGTTAGTGATTAGATTTTTATATTGTGTCAATTATTTTGTTGATGTTGAATGTATAAACTAGGTCAATACGAAATACTCGAAAAAAAAAAAAACATTTTGTAACTAATTTTTTAGTAGCAAAAAATAATTTAGCATAATTGCATTCCACATTCAGCGTCTAAAGTGATTAGAATTAACCACCAAATTTTGGTCACTAAAAGATACATTCGTCTACTAATAAAATAGTCGCGAAAACCTATTGGATTTTACATTCAGCGTCTAAAATGACTATAATTAACCATTAAATTTTGGTCACCAAAAGATATATTCAACCACTAATAAATTAATCGTGAAAACGTTTTGGATTCTACGTTCAACATCTAAAAGTATTACAATTAACCACCAAATTTTGGTCACCAAAAGATACATTTGTCGACTAATAAATAGTTATAAAAACTTTTTATGAAATTACCCTTACACCTTTAGTGTCTAATTTTTGTGGCATTTGCGACAAATTATTAGACATTAAAAGGTACATTTTGCAACTAATTGATTAGTCGCTATACAATTTTACCAAATTACCCTTGAACTATTAACGTCTAAGCTGGGGACTATTTTGACCAACATTTAGCGACTAATTTGCTAGTTGTTAAAAAAAAACTTTCTGCATCTAAACAAAAATTTAGATCCGCAAACAATCTACGGTAGCGATACTGCAACTAAGGTGTGACTACAAAATTTAGACGCGAAAAATGGCTTAGCGTCTAAATTTGACTTTCTGCGTCTAATTTTGCTAGACACCGAAACACATTTTTCTTGGAGTGATGCTACGGGTACTAATGGATGGATACTAATTTGTGTACTAACTAAAGCATAGTACCCGTACTATGCGCATAGTACGGGTACTATGCTTTAGTTAGTACACAAATTAGTACCCATCCATTAGTACCCAAAGTATTATTCTTTTTCTTGTGAGTGATGCTATGGGTACTAATGCATGAGTACTAATATGTGTACTAACTAAAGCATAGTACCCGTACTATACGCATAGCAAAATTTTTCTTGTGAGTGATGCTATGGGTACTAATGAAGAATAATACTTTGGGTACTAACGAATGGGTACTAATTTGTGTACTAACTAAAGCATAGTACCTGTACTATACGCATAGTACAGGTACTATGCTTTAGTTAGTACACAGATTAGTACCCATCCGTTAGTACTCATAGCATCACTCACTAATGAATGGGTACTAATCTGTGTACTAACTAAAGCATAGTACCTGTACTATGCCCATAGTACAGGTACTATGCTTTAGTTAGTACACAGATTAGTACCCATTCATTAGTACCCAAAGTATTATTCGTTTCGAGTGATGCTATGGGTACTAATGGATGAGTACTAATATGTGTACTAACTATAGCATAATACCTGTACTATGCGCATAGTATAGGTACTATGCTTTAGTTAGTACACATATTAGTACTCATCCATTAGCACCCAAAGTATTATGAGTGATGCTATGAGTACTAACGGATGGGTACTAATCTGTGTACTAACTAAAGCATAGTACCTGTACTATGCGTATAGTACAGGTACTATGGTTTAGTTAGTACACAAATTAGTACCCATTCGTTAGTACCCAAAGTATTATTCAAGTATTATTCATAACGAGTGATGCTATGGGTACTAACGGATGGGTACTAATCTGTGTACTAACGCATAGTACCCGTACTATACTTTAGTTAGTACACAGATTAGTACCCATCCGTTAGTACTCATAGCATCACTCACTAATGAATGGGTACTAATCTGTGTACTAACTAAAGCATAGTACCTGTACTATGCCCATAGTACAGGTACTATGCTTTAGTTAGTACACAGATTAGTACCCATTCATTAGTACCCAAAGTATTATTCGTTTCGAGTGATGCTATGGGTACTAATGGATGAGTACTAATATGTGTACTAACTATAGCATAATACCTGTACTATGCGCATAGTATAGGTACTATGCTTTAGTTAGTACACATATTAGTACTCATCCATTAGCACCCAAAGTATTATGAGTGATGCTATGAGTACTAACGGATGGGTACTAATCTGTGTACTAACTAAAGCATAGTACCTGTACTATGCGTATAGTACAGGTACTATGGTTTAGTTAGTACACAAATTAGTACCCATTCGTTAGTACCCAAAGTATTATTCAAGTATTATTCATAACGAGTGATGCTATGGGTACTAACGGATGGGTACTAATCTGTGTACTAACGCATAGTACCCGTACTATACTTTAGTTAGTACACAGATTAGTACCCATCCGTTAGTACCCAAAGTATTATTCAAAAGTGAGTGATGCTATGGGTACTAACGGAGAGTGATGCTATGGGTACTAATGGATGAGTACTAATATGTGTACTAACTAAAGCATAGTACTTGTACTATACACATAGTACAGGTACTATACTTTAGTTAGTACACATATTAGTACTCGAGTGATGCTATGGGTACTAACGGATGGGTACTAATTTGTGTACTAACTAAAGCATAGTACCTGTACTATCCGCATAGTACAGGTACTATGGTTTAGTTAGTACACAAATTAGTACCCATTTGTTAGTACTCAAAGTATTATTCTTAGTACTCATCCATTAGTACCCAAAGTATTATTCACTAACGGATGGGTACTAATCTGAGTACTAACTAAATCAATGTACCCGTACTATATGTATAGTACCTGTACTATGCTTTAGTTAGTACACAGATTAGTACCCATTCATTAGTACCCAAAGTATTATTCTGGAAAGTTATACGATGAAGTTGTATCTCTTACACTAATAAACTTATCGTGAATTGATCTATATAATCGTATAAATTTTATTGTCAATCAACCTTCCATTATATGTTTTTTTTTTTGTACAAAAAGCAGACTTTGCCAAACACAAATAGCGCGTTTTGTGCAATCTCATCTCATGATTTCCTAAAATTAATAAATTAAATTTTTTATCAAATAAAAAATAAATTTAATTCTAGTGGATTAATTACTCGAATTAAATTAATTTTGAGAGAAATTAAGTAATATAAAATTATTTATAAAAGGAACAAATCACAATGTACAAAATCAAGATTATAATTATGCATGTGTCCTTGACCATTCGATCTTTGTTTTATAAATTGTTAGTGTTTTTGCCACCTTATGATTCTGTTTTTAGTTATGCACTATTTTTTCCTTTTTCCTATTGTGGGCACACTTGTTAAAGGTGAACACCTTCACAAATGAGAGCACTTTAGCGTGTGTGTGCTCACAATGCTTTTGGCATATTTTTTTCCTCAATCACATTTTCAGCACTCATTTTACTTTTGAGTGATGCTATGGGTACTAATGGATGAGTACTAATATGTGTACTAACTAAAGCATAGTACCCGTACTATGCGCATAGTACGGGTACTATGCTTTAGTTAGTACACATATTAGTACTCATCCATTAGTACCCAAAGTATTATTGTTTACTTTTTGGACAATATTATTCCTTGTTGATATTTTGTTTTGTTTTTTTACACTACTTTTTTTTTTTTGCTGTGTGAGAAAATGAATATTGCTTTTGTTTGTGGTCCCAAATTTCTTGTGCAAAAAGAAAAACACAAAAGTTAATTTTTAACTTTTTTGTCCCCTAACCTTGGACGCATTGATCTCTTTATATTCACTCATTTTTGGCGTTTTCTTTAAGGAATCTGATCACAATTGTTTGTGTAACGCCCACATGGAGGTACGTAATTTAATTTATGTTCTTATGCCTTTTGTTGATTTTTGCTAAGGTTATTTTAAGGAAAATGTGAAGAAAATGCCTTAAACTTGCATTAAGGGTAAAATGGTCTTTTCACTCAAAATTAGTTGAAATTGTGGGGAGTAAAAAGAGATAGAATTTCATGGAGAATGAAAGGGCATAATGGTAATTGACTAAGGGACATAGATGGAATTTTAAAGCAAGTGCAAGGGCAAAATGGGAAACTATATATAATTTTTATGTTATATCAAATTGAAGAGTGAAACCCTAGCCACTCTTACCCATATGCACGCCACTTTCACCTCCATATTCTCTCAAATTCATCAATTCTTCTTCAAAGGAAATTCAAAGGTTTTGGGTGTTTTTCAGTGGATTTTCAATCTTAAGCTTCTATAGGTAAGATCCTTGCACTAAGAAGTGAATTTTAGTTTTTAAAGTGTTGATTTTGATGGTTTATGCTCATAGGATTTAAGAGGAAGAGAGTTTGATCAAAGGAGATTCTTAAAAGATTGAATTTGCTCATATCAAAGGTAAGTAAATCCTACCCTAAGTGTGATTTAAGTTATGTTGTGTAGAAAATGTGATTTAAGTTATGTTGTGTAGAGAATTTTCTTTGTGCATATATATATGTTATATGTGGAATTGTTGATGGATTTAGTGTTGAATAATAATTAGAATCTATCCATAAGAAGTTGGGTTGGTGTATGTGAGACTTGATGAATGTTTGGTTGAGATTTGGAAGAGTTGAAGTGAAAATTTTGAAGTGTGTATTTTGGGCAGATTTGGAGTTAATTATGGAGGAGTTTATTCCAAGTTTTTGG